TGGACTTACTTCCTCTTTGCCTTCTGCTATGATTTTAAGTTTCCTGAGGCCTCTTAGTCATGCTTTCTGTTAAGCCTGTGGAACTATAAGTCGATTAAACCTCTTTTCTTCATAAATTACCCCATCTCAGGTAGTCCTGTATAGCAGTGTAAAAACGTACTAGTACAGCAGGTTACTAAAATGGGCACTTAGCCACAACTTTGGTGGTCAGGAAGGGCTTGGCAGAGGAAGTGTTTCTAAGCTTAGCCTATAATGGCCAGTAGGAGTTCACAGGTAAAAAGGAGGAGGAAAGAGTATTCTGGAAAATATAAAAGTGTATGTGAATGTTCAAAGAAGAATATGCATCAAAGAAGGAGTTAACCTGGGGTGAGAAGGAACACAATGTGGTAGAAAACTCCATGAGCCCAGAGTCAGAAGACCTTCTGCAGCCGTTAACTAGTGATGCCCCAACCCCCACCCATGAATGCAGGATGCACTATGCAACATTAAAAATGCTAGCCAGCTTTAGTGTTTATATATTATCTAAGATCTTTCATGCAAATGTTCTAAAAGATCACACTCTTATAATGAAATATGAAAAACAGATTGTGGATGACTGGAAGTTGAGCTGCTAAAAGCCAACTTCTCTTTTTTTCTCATCTTCACAATAACTCAAAGTGCCTAGCATGGTGAAATTATGTAAAATTGGACCAAGAGATGCTTCTCTATGAGGAAGGAATTTAACATGGAGTCACTCCACAAGTACTGGTTTTTCCAGTGGAGAAATGAATAGGAATGGGCTTGTTCTGTTAAGAGGAAAGATCAATCTCCCATGGCGCAAGATGAAGCCCTCCGTGGTGCTCTGCAGAGTCTTAAAAACAGAAGCCAAATCATGGAGGCCTGGGATACCTGCAGCAGTGGCTCTTAAACTAGTTTGCCACAAAATAAACGTGGTGATTTGTTTAGAATATGAGTTCCCTTGTTTTAGCTTCCTACAATCTAATTGTGTTACCTGAGGCAGAAGCCCATGAGTCAGATGTACACTCAGGTTTCTTTCCCAGAACCAAGTCCCCGCCCCTTACATTGGCTCTTTCCTGTGTTTTGTCTCACCTTAAACCCTACTTCAATCCTTGCTTCAACCATGTGGAAGTGGCTCAAACATACCAGTTTATTCATGCCTCCATGTCTTTGTCATCAACCCTCCCTCTATCTTAAAATGCCTTTGCTCTTAAACTGCAGTGTTCTGTTTCCCAGGTAACTGCCCACACATATTTCAAGAATCATCTTTTTAAAATTTCTCCTCTGCGTTTCTTGTTTAGACTTGACCACTCACCTCTTAGTGTCTTTACTTTAACCCTGACCTGTGATGTAATCTACAAAACATTTCTACACTTACTTTTTTTATACATTTTTTTATCTCTATTACAGTATTTGATATAATAAGCACTGAATAAATGTTTGCTAAATGGATAAATGAATGAATGTATGAATGAATGAATGAAATACACTATAAAACAGTGTATCTGCAGTTAGATTGCCTGGTTTCAAATCTTTTCTCTATCACTTATCAGGTGTGCAAATTTGGGAAAGTTACTTTAAGCCTCTCAGTTTCTCAATTATAAATGAGAATGATAATTATAGTATCTGCCTCCTGTAGCTGTTAATAGGTTTTAAATAAACTAATATTTGTAAAGCACTTAAAAGAATGTCTGGATCATAGTCTTACCAGTGTTTATAAAATAAATGAATGTACTATAGCAAAAATGATGAATGTTTAAATTTATATCTAGAAACAGAGATTGAAAGCAGAGACAAATCCACAAGATGTAAGAAGAAAAAAGTCATGGGCTCAGTGATTGAGGAAGAAAAAGGGCTGGGACTAAGTCTTGGGATTCTAATAGTCACTGGAAGCAGTAGGCAAGTGTCTGCCGTTAATTCCTTACTTTTAATTATTTGATCACCTAAGAATGGAGAACCTGGCCTCCTGGAATAATACACAGTCAGTTACATTAGAAAAAAACGAGAGTCAGATGTTTTCAAAACAATAACAACAATATGCCCTGGATAGCAGAGAAACAGAAGAGCAATTGATCTACAAAGGTAAGACCCAGATTGAGACCATAGTGAACCCTACAAAATAGAGGAGCCCCTGGATGGGAGAAGATATAACTGGAACTCTGGGAATGTAATATGCCTGGTGTGCTTGTCTGAGAGACAGGGCAGCTAGGGAAATCAGTCTCCACAGCGTCATGGGGAAGAGAGAATACAGGACGACTATAGGACCACAGCTCAACCAAGAGTCAGTGTAAATTTACACATATTTCTTGATCTCTCTAAAGTCTCTCTTTTCAGTTAAATACAAATAATAATGCATGCTTCATGCAGCAAGTTATTGTGAACACTAAATGAGACAGTATTTGAAATTACTGTGTAACAGAAAATAAGTTACACAGAATCCTCAGTACAAGGACAATAGTGTGGGACTGCAAAGATGATCATGCAAAGCAATCTTAATAATGAATGAGAAAACTTATGATTGGGCCTTGGACTTTAAGGGGTTTTGCCGAAACATCAAAATCTTTCTTGCTGTTATTGACAAAGGTATAAGCAAATAAAAATCATAAAATTAATACCTAGTACGACATAACCTAAAACATGAGAAACATTTAAAACTAAACTGTTTCGCTTTTCATAAAAACTTATCAACTGTAGTTTAAACCATGCTTGCCTCCTTGTCATGTAACCAACAATGTGAAGTGCCATCTTTCTTTATGCACTGGCAAATTGTCATATGCTTTTCTAAGTTTGGATCAGATTCTCGAGTGTATTCTTTGTTCTCTCAGTGTATTGAAATATCTCCAAGAGTTTTTTCTAATGTGAAAATTTTTTGCCAGCATTACTTCCTCTAGGACATCTTCATTCTGTTCATCACAACTACCTTTCTCATTTACATTTTCTTTCAGTAAGTTTCCGTGGCCTCATGCCCAGAGACCCAAATGACAGCAGTATCAATATTCCATGGTCAGCTGTCTTCTTAGGAGATCTAATTTCACATCCAGCATTATTGCTTTTCATTTCTTTGCTGCACTTTCATCTGTTGCACAATTTCTTCTTTTAATCATCTGTTTTGTAAAATATCGTGTGAGTTTATCATGGGAAGACATGGAGGCAACACAATTACATGCTTTGCTGGGTGGTAACTAACAGATGTGCAGTACCCATACTGAGGTTCTCTGTCACTGATCATGATGTGCATCCACTATTTACATAGTGATTTCTGAACTGAAGTGCTATCAGTGAGGTTAGAACTTCACGCAATTGCTGTTAATATACCATAATTAATGAAACATGAACCACATTATTGAGAGACTGGTATTATTTAACTAAACCATGGTAACTAAAATTTATACATATGAATTAGCAAGTCGAGAGCTGCCAGTAACTTTAATTGCTTCCTTTAACAGTTCTTAATTTTTCTTTAATCAGTGAGACTTATGTTTATATGCTCACCATTGTGATGAGGATCCCCAGATTTTATTTGAGTAAGAGGCTCAGAATTAGGCTCAGTTCTTAATCCACTTTCTGCGTGATCCTCCTTCCCACACCATTCCAAATGTATCAGTGTGGCACACACCCAGGCCGAGAACCACTGCTCTAAAGCCCTCCCCATAATTGAAACTTTAGTCACTCTAGCTTTGAATTTTTCTACTTAAAAAAAATTTTACGAAAGCTATTAATTTAGAACTTTTCTGTCTTTGCTTTTAATGGTTTCTTCTTATTTTGCTTTTGCTTATTTCATTTCCATTTGTTCATTTCATTGTAAAGAAATGGGTCTGAGAGAAATTTAAATTACCTTTGACTTTTCAGGGTGTGCCCTGGATCTCCACCCCTTTCCCTCTTTCCATCTCAAGACACAAAATTAAGGATAAATATAAGGGGAGATGGTGTGAGTGAGAAAGAACAGAAATCTAGCCCCATGTAAATTAAAATGTTAAAAATGAAAAAAATCTATCACATATTTTAAATGAAGTTTTTCCATTAAACATGGGAATTCAATAAATTTATGTCAAGGAACTAGAGTTTGGGAGACAAAAGCTTTCATGAAAATGTTTATATTAGATTTATTTCTTTTCTTTTCTTTCTTTCTTTTTTTTGAGACAGAGTCTTGCACTGTTGGCCAGGTTGGAATGCACTGACACAATCTCAGCTGACTGCAACCTCCATCTCCCAAGCTCAAACAATTCTCCTGCCTCAGTCTCCCAAGTAGTTGGGATTACAGGTGAGTGCTACCATGCCTGGTTATTTTTTTTTTTTTTTTTGTATTTTTAGTAGAGATGGGGTTGCACCATATTGGCCAGGCTGGTCTCAAATCCCTGACCGCAGGTAATTCACCCACCTCAGCCTCCCAAAGTGCTGGGATTACAGGCATGAGCCACCGAACCGAGCAGATTTATTTTTTAATATCAAGTATTGTGAATATTCTAAATATTAAATAATGGGGAAATGGCAGAAAAAATATATTAACTAGGTGGGATACTGTACAAATTTAATGAATGCAAATGTTAGTTTTAAATACATTGTAGCAAGGAGAAAAAATGCAAAAGATACAATGTGAAATGAAAAAAGTAGGAAACAGAATCCTTTCCCTGTAAGACAACAATGCAGGGAATTGATGTTTCTACCCCTTTCCTCACAGCAGGAACACCACTGCTGTCTCCCTCCAAGCCCCAGCACAAGGAACAAGAGTTATTGCACAGAAGAAACATTTCAAGGAGAACTAGTAACTAGCATGGCAAGGTCTTGTTATCTGCAGGTTCCTGGCATTAATAGAATCAAAATAGTAAATAAAACCCATCCTGATTCTTAACATAAGTTTAACAGTATGCTCCATTCTGAATTTCTAAGCCTACCCCAACCACATCACCAGTGGTATACCAGTGTGGTCCACTATCAAAAAGAATATAGTAATATTCCTAACAGAGGATCATAGTTATACCCAGAGGAATAGAAGGTCAATCTACCTGGAATTCCTTCTCCACTGTTGTGAAGCAGGTTCACTGTGCACTGATCACCAACTTGTCTGAGTCCAGTGAGAGAAAAACACTCATGCATACAACAAGCTGCATGAAGAGATCTTTTACTACTTACAGACAGGCAGCAAGGGACAACAGAAGCCTACGACACATTGTGAGCCAGTCTCCAAGGCTCAAGGAATCTGCCCAGGATAGATGGAGTGTCATCCATGCATACCCGACTTATATCAGCTGAGGGACCCCAGAAAGCCTCTCACCCTGGCTTTTATGCCCTGGGGCAGTGAGATTTGCTCAGCTAAAACATTGAAGGTTATCATATCAGAAAGGCAGGGCACCAAGCACAGAGCTCAGGCTGTTCCGATCAGCCCTCCTTATCTCAGAATGTTGCATTCCCAACATGTTCTACAGCTATTCTTAAGAACCAGAAATGAGAAAAGGGAGGACAATAGGGCTGGTCCAAGGCCACCCAGAGAACTGTCCTGCATTTTTCATCCCTCTCTCCCTTCCTTCCCCCTTTCTCCTCCTCCTCCTTCTCCCCTTCTTCTTTACCCCTTTGATACATAACTGTCCTCCTTAAAGGATCCCAGTCACATCCTGGCAGTGTCCCAGCTGGCTTGAGATCAAGGAGGTTGTCTTTTCTGACAACTTTGCATCCTGCAATGGTGAAAATGAATGCATCAATAACTGATCTTACGGTCTTTTGAAGGAATCTGCTCCCCAGTGTGTTTCTAATTCTCTAGAATAGAATGTTTACACGAAGACAAATAAACTCCCCTCTTGATGATATTAATCCTCTTTTATAACATATCTGGACATGTGTTACTTTTCTGTTCTCCTCTTACCATGAGAAGAGAGAAGAATAAAAGGATACCAGAATACATGGACTGTGAAATACTGAAAACTGAGGATTGGGAATTCACAGAAATTATTTCTCTGGATACTGTTTTTCTTTCTTTTCCCTCTCTCTCTCTTTTCTTTCTTTCTTTTCCTCCCTCTCTGCCTCCCTCCCTCTCTCCCTCCCTTCCTTCCTTCCTTCCTTCCTTCCTTCTTCTTTCTTTCTGATGGAGTCCTGCATTGTCATCTGGGCTGGAGTGCAGTGGCATGATCTCAGCTCACTGCGACCTCCACCTTCCCACTTCAAGTGTTTCTCTGATCTCAGTTCTCCCGAGTAGCTGGGATTACAGGTGCATGCCACCACATCCGGCTAATTTTTGTTTGCATTTTTAGTAGAGACAGGGTTTCACTATGTTTTCCTGGCTGGTCTCCAATGCCTGATCTCGTGATCCACCCACCTTGGCCTCCCAAAGTGCTGGGATTACAGCCATGAGCTGTAATACTGTTCCAGCCTGGATACTGTTTTTTTTACAGCACAACCACATGACTGAAGACAGAGCTCATCTGGGTCAGTGTTTCAGAAAATGTGATGAAGGTTATTCTTCAAATGCAGATTCCTGTACCTCCATGCAAACTTCTATGTTAGAAGTGAGAGGTGGGGTGAGATGGACGAGAGGTGATATTGGAAATCTGAATTTTTATAAACTTTTAGTTTCAGGGGTACCTGTGAAGGTTTGTTATATAGGTAAACTCATGTCACAGGGGTTTGTTGTACAGATTGTTTCATCACCCACATATTAAGCCTAGTACTCAATAGTTCCTTTTGGTGCTCCTCTCACTCCTCCTACCCTCCATGCTCAAGCAGACCACAGTGTCTGTTGTTCCTTCTTTATGTTTATGAGTTCTCCTCATTTATCTCCCACTTATAAGTGAGAACATGTAGTATTTGGTTTTCTGTCATTCTGTTAGTTTGCTAAGGCAAATAGCCTCCAGCTCCATCCATATTCCCCAAAAAAACATAATCTCATTCTTTTTAATGGCTGCATCATATTCCATGGTGTATATCTACCACATTTGCTTTATTCAGTCTGTCATGATGAGCATTTAGGTTGATTCTATATCTTTGTTATTGCAAATTGTGCTAAAATAAAAATTTGTGTGCATATGTCTTTATGGTACAATGATTTTAGCTCTTTGAGGAATCACCACACTGCTTTCCACAGTGGTTAAACTTACATTCCCACCCACAGTGTACGAGTGGTTTTTTTTCTCTGTAACCTTGTGAGCAACAGTTACTTTTTGACTTTTTATTAATAGCCATTATGATTTGTGTGAGGTGGTTCTGATTTGCATTTCTCTAATGATCAATGACACTAAGCTTTTATTCAATGCTTGTGGACCACATGTATAGTTTTTAAAGTGTCTGTTCATGTCTTTTGCCCACTTTTTAATGGGATTACTTTTCTCTTTTAAATTTGTCTTAGTTCCTTATAGATGCTGGATATCTCACCTTTGTCAGATGCATAGTTTGCAAGTATTTTCTTCCCATTCTGTAGGTTGTCTATTAACAGTTTCTCTTGCTGTGCAGAAGCTCTTAAATTTAATTAGATCCTGTTTTTCAATTTTCACTTTTGTTGGGATTGCTTTTGGTGCCTTTGTTATGAAATCTTTGCCCATGCCTGTGTCCTGAATGGTATCGCCTAGATAAGAAAATCTGGAAGAAACTATAAGAAAGACATAAAAGAAACTAGGGTTTTTATAGTTTTGCATTTTACATTTAAGTCTTTAATCCATCTTGAGTTAATTTTTTCCCATGGTGTAAGGAAGGGGTCTAGTTTCAATTTTCTGCATATGGCTAGCCAGTTATCCCAGCACCATTTATTGAATTCAGAGTATTTTCTCCATAGCTTGTTTTTGTCAGTTTTGTCAAAGATCAGATGGCTGCAGATCTGTTGCCTTGTTTCCGGGCTCTCTGTTCTATTCCATTGGTCTATGCCCCTGTTTTTGTACCAGTATCATGCTGTTCTGGTTACTGTAGCCCTGTAGTACAGTTTGAAGTCAGATAGTATGATGCATCTAGCTTTGTTCTTCTTGCTTAGGATTGCATTGGCTATTCAAGTTCTTTTTTGGTTCCATATGAATTTAAATTTTTTTTCCTAGTTCTGTGAAGAATGTTGTTGGTAGTTTGATAAGAATAGCATTGAATCTATAAATTGCTTTGGGCAGTATGGCCATTTGAAGGATATTGATTCTTCCTATCCATGAGCATGGGATGTTTTTCCATTTGTTTGTGTCTTTGATTTATTTGATGGTGTTTTGTAATTCTCATTGTAGAGATATTTTACCTCCATGGTTATCTGTAGTCCTAGGTATTTTATTCTTTTTGTGGCAGTTGTCAGTTGTGAATGGGATTTCCTTCTTGATTTAGTTCTCAGCTTGGCTGTTGTTGGTATATAGGAATGCTAGTGATGTCAGTATATTGATTTTGTGTCATGAAACTGGTGAAGTTGTTAATCAGCTGAAGACTATGGGCTTTTCTTAATATAGCATCATGTCATTTACTAACAGGGAAAGTGTGACTTCCTCTCTTCTTATTTGGATTCCCTTTATTTCTTTCTCTTGCTTAATTGCTTTAGCTAGGAATTCCAATATGATGTTGAATAGAAGTGGTGAGAGAGGGCATCCTTGTCTTGTGTCTGAGAACCTGCTGATTTTTTCAGTGTTTTAAAAATACTTTTTATTGTAAAATCTAACAGATATAGGAAACTATATCAAACAAACCAAATACCCTTGTAACCACAGCTAGGTTAAGAAAATAGAATTCTTCCATCCACCCTGATCACAGTCCCTTCCCTCTTTTCAAAAGTCATCACAGTCCTGACCTTTGTGGTAATCATGTCTTTATTTATTATTATTATTATTTGCAATTTTATCACCCAAATGTTCATGCCTAAGCACTAGTTTAGTTATGCTTCATATTCTTTTTTTCTAGAATAGGAGTATTTTGTTTTTTAATTGTTCCTTCTTTTCAATAGGTTTTTGGAAACACATAGTATTTGGTTACATGAATAAGTTCTTTTGTGATGATTTCTGAGATTACTGTTCACCCATCACCTGAGCAGTGTACACTGTACCCAATGTATCCCTCACCCCCTCCCACCCCCCAGTCCCCAGAGTCCACTGTATCATTCTTCTGCCTTTGCTTCCTCACAGCTTAGCTCCCACTTTTGAATGAGAACATATGATGTTTGGTTTTCCATTCCTGACTTACTTCACTTAGAATAATGGTCTTCAATTCCATCCAGGTTGCTTCAAATGTCATTATTTCATTCTTTTTCATGGCTGAGTAGTATCCCATGGTGTGTGTGTGTGTGTGTGTGTGTGTGTGTGTATACATATACACATATGTATCTCACAACTTCTTTATCCACTCTTTGAATGATGGGCATTTGGGCTGAAAGAACCTAAATTTTTAACAAATTCTTTAGGTGATCCTCAGAAACTCTAAACCTTAGGAATCACTGTTAACTTATCTTCTTATATACCTAAGAAGCAAGATCTACAGCCTCCAATGTATTACATTTTATTTCATAAACCTTCAAAACAGATCAAGGGTGATAAGGATGGCATTATTTATCTAAATTATGTATTTTCATTCTGTTCCCTAAAGAAGGTCATGTGCCTTTATCTTTTGCCATGTGACTTGAAATGCTTCTCTTTGGAAAGGCATACTCAGTGGTCTGAAGAGGTCATTTACATCACACTTGGCCATGTAACTTACTATGGACAATGCAATGTAAGTAAAACTGGTATCTGCAACCTCTGGGTAGATGCTGCAACAGCCATCCCAAGGCTCTGTCACTGTTCTTTCCCTTTGCCACAAGACTAAGATAAGACTCCTTTCTTTAGTCTCGATCACCAAATAAGGAAGATATGTAAGGGCTGAGCCACAGCTCTCCTAGTTGACAGAGTAGGAAATAAACTATTATTGTTTTAAAGCACTGAGATCTTGGACTTGTTTTTATTTTTTAATGGAGTATAACATAAATTAGGATTTCCAATCCATTGAGATAAAATAATTTTTAAAACTTTCTTTTCTAGAACAAAAATACGGCCACATAAAAGCAAAACTAACTTGTGCTGCCTCTAAGGTGGTGCAGTAAATGCACTTATGAATACCCAATGAAAGGACAGTCCCAGTGTGTATACTAGCTACATACCAGTTTCATCCTACCTTAGCACCACCATCCTGCACTGTCTCAAGGACAGTAATGAGAGCTTTAATCTGTCTTCAAAACAATGGAAGGATGAATTATTTGCCCTGCCTTCCTCTTACACATATGCACAGTTTAGGCAAAAGGAATATCACCAGGCAAATTGTCTTCAAATCTAATTTCTTCAAGACTTTTCCTGTTTGTTTTTCTAAAATCAGTTTCTCTTCTTCCATGACAACAGAACAAGACAAAATGGTTCTGTTTTAACATTCAAGAGCTGTTGCTCCCAGACAATGTAGTGCTGTTCAGCAGAAAAGCCCTATTCAGCATACCAAAAAATCCCATTAACTCTTCCCTTCTCAACACTTGTGAATTACAGATTCCCTGGTCAAAACCCTTGTCAGACACCTGATTTCATGTGTCTGACATCACAGGTTTTAAACACGTATCAGAATGAAAAACAAAGTGTATGGCTGTGTGTATCTACTCATGTCTTACTATAAATAAACAAAATGGCAGAGTTTCTGAAGTTGATATATAATATTAGCTTAACAAATACTATTTGGATCTGGAGACTTATACATGGAAAGGAATTTCCAGAAGCTACCTTTCTTTAGCTTCCAGTAATCTAAATAGATAAAAAACATTCTTCAATTAAAAAAAAAAAAAAACACGAAAAAATACTGGAAGCAAGTTTAGTATGCTGAAATATACATGCAAGTCTACTCTACACATGGGTGACACATAAGTCACATGGAATTATATTAAAGCATTTGTGCTTCTTGATTAGTCCAGAGTCCCTATATGGTACAAAAGCAAACGTCTTTGTTTGATGATAAAAAGCTAATATATTCTCTAGGTATAACTGGAACCATGTTGTCTGACACGGTATGCTTTAAAATGGTATGTGGCTTCCTTCAAC